ATAAATGTCTAAGGTTTAAAGACATTATTATGGTTCTACTATATGCTCTGGAGATGTACTACAGATACTTACATACCATAGTCACGCTGTTTCTCAGCGACTTACAATGTGAGCAGAGTCCAGTCATTGACAACAGCTTATTGGACAAAAGATAGACTTTTCAGCAAGATAGAAAATGTTTCAGTTGAACCCAGTATTTTTTTTATAAATTAATTCAGTCATTCTCAAAACCCTAATATGCTGCTTTCCCATTTAAACACGGGACCAGAGATGGTTCTCAACTGGAAGTTTCTAACGAAAAAGAAAAGAACCACTGAGAAATTCTGAACTTTGATAGGTAGCCACAATCCAAAATTTTAAAACACTGGATACACAGACATTAACTAGCTTTCAACAGCTCATCAGAAAGCCACTGAGTAGAAATAAAGGATGGCTAAGTTATACCTTGTTCAAAAGGATTTATATGTTTCTTTCTATACATGCCAATATTTTAAAAGAAAATTTGAAGAACGACAACCGTAATATTTACTAAATTTGTGAAAATTGACATATAAAGCATAATTGAGGACATCTTAATGTCTGGGATTTTTTTCCCTGCAGAGTACTATAGCCATCCAAGGTCAAAAAATAGAGTCTGGTGAAAGGAAAATAATTATAATTCTTCAGATAAATTGTATCCACAGTAACATTCAGTTCCATTGGCATGAGCAGTCTGTAGGCTCTTGAATGACGTACGTAATTTCAGTGCCATTTCCTGAGCAGCGTAGTGGCACAGTCAGATTACGTGTTCCATTTTCTCGACAACATTTACAGAATCTTAAATGGCTATCGATATTGACATTGAAAATTGTTGCAGACGGGCATTTTCCATCACAAGAAGCCACATTTATCTATGAGTAAAATGAGAACTTAAATTAGACATCTCAAATTTTGTTATAAAAATATAACATTTCAAACTTCTTTGTGATTAAAACCCATTTTTACATTTGAAAATGACTCTGGTCTTAAAAATTATTTTATCTTCTAAAATTCATTCATTCTAAGTGTAGAAACATTTTTAATATTTTTTTAATTAAACTTTTTGGGTTGTTTAATCTTGTATTCTGTCTTAACCTTGAGAAAAATGTTGTGCTGTGGATACCAAAATTGAATCCCCGGTTTACAAATTAATAAGTTCAAAGCAGCGTAGCTAAATTCATATTCTTTTCATGTTCACTGCTGAAAAGTTAAATTCTTCTAAGTAAAATAAGAAAAGTCTACCCTTCTCCTTGAAGGTTCAAGAGGAAAAGCATATCGGTGCAAAAGCTTTTACTTTTCTCATTATCCTGCTTGTGACTAAGGGCACACCAATATTAGCTGTGTTATCACTGTAACAAATATATCCAAAAAGTAGATGCAGTAACAAGCCAGCAAGGGCAGAGACTGGCTGAAAAATTAACTGCGCTCTAGACTTCAGCAGAACAAAGCTTTCCCTCACTATTACGTTATGTGAAGAGTCTTCTTAGCTGGTACTCTTGACAGAAAAGAAATTGATACTTTTTAATTAAAACATAAGCAGAGTTGATATGCTGGGAAATCGAGAACGGTCATACATTCCTGTGGTAGTTTTAAATCTGATTTCTTATGCAAGTGAGATGTATGAAAGATGCTTTGATCCACTCCCTTCCAAACAGCTTGTGAGCTAATAAGCCATATCCCAACAAATTAGACAAAAGGTTACTCTTACAGCTTTCTTGAAATTTGACGGGGGGGGGGGGGGGGGGGGGGGAAATACCTACCTAAGCACTAATAATCTCAGTTATTAACTAATTAAATGTATTAATACTCAGCCCTATCCAAAGTTTGACAGCATTAATCTGGCCAAAGAACACGTAGGTAGTTCCAAACCAGCCATAGCAGATACCGCCGTTTGATGGGCCAAAATCACGCGATTGAAATAGAGTGCCAGGGGTTTTGCAGTGGGGGAGCTGGAGAAGGAAGGGAGTGTAGCTGAGGATATGAATAGAGATTTCGAGGACATGAAAATCTGGAGGTACTTCTGGGTGAAGGGTAGGGGAATCTGGACTGTGAGAAGGGTGGGCAGCCATCAAGGAAATGGGGAACCAGAAGATAATGAGGAAAGCGGGTTGTAATACAGGTGGAGGTGAGATGGTGGTAGGTCTTTTTGAAAGGTGGGTAGAGGGAAAGGAACGATAAAGAATCTACAATAGAAAGTCATTAAAAGGAAGGCTTCATTTGTTGTGCCTTTCATGGAATGACCTGGCCAACATTCTTGTTGTTCCTCTCGGAGCCCTCTCTAGTTCTGCAGCAATGTGGAGCTGCGCAGAGGACCCTCGATAGTACTGCACCATTGGCTCGTAAGAGGCACTAGAATGAGTTTGTTTCCATTCCCTATCCTGTTCCCTAAATGTTGTAACTCTTAGTTAGCCTTTCTGTCTGCACAAGAGCATTTAACAGGTTTTCATAGATCTGGATGCAAGGGCAAGGTCCTTCTCAGCTTAAAAACCTATAAGGCTTGACTAAATCTTTCTGTTTAATATCCTTTGCTTTAGTCAATACCATGTCTTTATTTTGCCATACTGCTTTCCGTTAACATAGGTTGTTGAAGTAACTGTGAAGCTCTCCACCATCTTCTCTCTTCTTAACTATGGCAAATAACTGTAACTTCGTCTGCATATTTATATTCCCTCATTACCAACCCTTCTTCTAAAACTAAATAAATACACCCCACACTCTTACTTCTACTATTAAACTTTGGGCATGTCACTGTTGACCTTCTATCAGGATGGAAATTAACCTGCTCAGCTTTCAATCTGTGATGATATTTTGCCTCTTCCCTTATGACTGTTCAGGTTCTTCCACAGAATCTTACCGGAGGCCTTTTGAAAGTCTCGAGATACTGTGTCACTTGCATCTCCTTTAAGTGCTACATGAGAAGTACATTCGCTGCTCGAACGTGTCCTGGGTTTTGTAGGTGGGGCTAGACCAAAGCTGAGAAATAAGATGTCTTAAGCAGACCCGTAAATCAATGGGATCATGAATTTATATATGGAGACACATGCTATGTGGAGGAGAAGACACTCAGAGAGTAAAGGTCTTCAGAGAGGAATGCAGCAGTGTTTCCATCACATCCTAAGTAGAAGCATTTCTACTCCTCTTTTAGAGTGGGATGTTTTCACATGGTGAAGAGTTCAATGCCTTTGTCAGTTACAAGCAATTATGCTGTGTACTTTTCATTTGAAGCCAGATGTTTTTCCAGGTAGGAGGGCTCAGTCTTTCAGCCATAGGAACAGCTAATTTTACTCCATTTACGAGTAGGATAACATTCCTAGGGTCAAAGGTCTGCTTTTGAGAAGATAGCAGCATTTTTTGTTGCTTGTTGATAGCTATAACACACTTAATACTTGACTTGGTATGCCTTAGACTCAGCATCAAACACAGGTCTTTTATGCTTACCGGGCTTAGACTTATACAGTCATTTTTTCTTATGGTTGTCCTGATTGTCATTTTCTGGCAAATCCTTTCTTCCTTTTTGCCTGATAAGATACAGAAAATGCATACTGAAGCAATACACTTTTTGTACTGTATTTGCTATGAAAAAAGTGAAAATATTAAAATAATTTTAATAATTTTACTTTGTTTTCATTAGTATACACACTGAAGGTATTACTTCCATAATTAAATAATTTTTTAGAAAAACCCTTCTCATATATTAATAAATACTTCCTGTGCAGAATTATTGATTTTATAGCTGGCACATATGATGCATCAAGTGGCCCATTAAGCTATACAGATTTTATAAACATTAAAATACAAATATGATCTTTAAATTGCACATATGACAAGACACATATAATTAATTAGAAAAAAGATGTCTCAAGTAATTTTGAATAGTATTTGAAAGAATACTGTTTTAATAGGAATATTGAATGTAAATAAGAATTTTATGTTGTATTTTAGAAAATTTTTGGAACTTAACACTTGAGAAGGTAAAGCTGTGAATGTGATTATAACCTTGATGCTATTTTGAAAGTTTAAAATTTAAATAGAACTATATAATTTCAATATATTTTTGAGAAAGATGGCCTTCAAGGAAGCTTTGAAAGAGAGAGAGATATATATTTGCTAAATATGGTGCAGTTTTTACCACCAGAACTGAAGCATGTAGCACTGAGTCAGCATACAAGACCTAGGATTAAGGAAATACTCCATTTTTAAGTACATTCGGGGAGATATTAATAGGAGGGGTTTTTTTTATTTGAAAAATAAAGCTGTACAATGCAAAGCCATTTTTAACATAATAAAAATCATAATTTAATACTGAAATAATTAAATGTACAATCTTTCATGCTGCACTCCATATCAGACTGTTATTACTACCTGTGTAACAGCAGTTACTTAGATCCCCTACCCATGAAAACCATCTATTAGTTTTGCTACGGAACCATTCCGGACATCCAGCATATGAAATAATAAGCACTAGTTTCTCCACCTTCAGCACATGCCTTCATGGTTGGGTGTACACAAAAAGAACAACTTTTCTGTTCCCCAGAAGCTTGTGAGCACTTTTATAAGATAAATGAGCTCTGAATAACCAAGATATTCTGCAACCACAGCTCCAGTCAGTATTTAAAAGCTGGCTGCAGAGTACGGCTAGATTTTAATCTGGGCATCGCAGGATCAAACAAGATTCTGTTACTGAACTAGCAGATCACTGTAGAATCGAAGCTGTTAGCCTACGGCATCTTGGTGTTTCTTCCTCAGCAACACTTAAGAAAAAGTCCTGTGATATTTCCATCAGGAAGTGCTTGCCAGCCTGAGTATACGGAGACAACGCCATCTTTGTACTTGTACAAATCATACAGGGAGGTATATAACATTTCAGCGTCTAAAGTACTGATGTCTGGTGAAAACGCTGCTGCTATACTTTTCTCTCTCCCACCTTCAGCTGTCAAGAAGATCTGCATTGAGTATCAGATATGCTTTTTTTACTCGCTCCTCATTTGAGTAAGGAGTTTTCTGTGACTTACCTATCCTTGAAAGCAAAGAATTATGATTATAATGCAACAGTTCTGTAACATTCTGTAATTGCTGGTGTAAAGAGTATTTATTAATGCGTGATTGTAATTGTATGTTCCCCCCACCCAACATTTTCATAACTTTGTAAAATATGATATTTATGACAGAGAAGAAATATATCATAAATCCATATCTGCAAAGGTGAAACCAGGCAGTAACGCACACTCTTGCTCTATTTGAAGGCAAAAACAGTTCAGTCATTAAATTCAGAGACCTGGGATCAAATTTAGAATCTCTTGGTAACAGTATTCAGGATGGTGATGTTTTTTAAAATAACATTTCTTATTACAACTACGTTGTACAGTAAGTTCACCTATTAAAACCAATTTCAGCAGTGAACAGGAGGAAGAACCATCAGCAGCATATACCATAAATGGATGAACCTAATTCTGACAGGTGCTGAGCAGTGAACCCTAACCAGGCTTTAGAAAACCACTGATTTGGGAGGGCAACAGAGGATCAGCATCTCTCAGTATCAGGCCCCGTATCATTAACTACATGGTAACATTTCATGGTGATGACAGCTATACATGTCAATCAAGCAGTGCTTACACTGTTATTTAAAAAAGAAAATACATTATTAAAAATAATACCTGGTTCACAATTAATACTATCAGTAGGCACTACGGGACTAATGGCAAAGGGCAATAGACCCCATCCAGAACCTGGCAGAATCATTAGGAATATAAGTTTCTCATGAAATAAAAACATTTTTATGTACATGACATTTCATTAATTCTTACACTGCCAACTGTAATTTTTCTTTTAGCAAAAGATGATGAGCTTTCCTGTTAGTCTTCCAAATTTAGAAACTCTGCAGCTGCTTCAAGTCTCACTAAAGATGGCCTAAACTTTATCACTCTCCTGGTTAACCCAAAACTGGAATGATGCTTCCTTGTAAACCAAACGTTCACAATGAGTCTCTCTATGGCAAGGTAAGAATTAACTACATGCACTCGCTTTGCATGCATTGAATCAAGCTCTTTCAGAAAGATTACTTGTTCCCATTAAAACCCCAAGGTGTCGCAAGCTCTATTTATAAGTACTCTTTTTAACTGCTTCATCATAGGGCACATGCTTTTAGTTAAAAATAAAACAAAAATAAAAATAATATAGCATATAATTTTATTAATTATATTTGGGTTTTTAGCAGCCACCTCAGCAGGTATTTCTGAAGTATAACGATGCCTTTCCTGAGGCCACAGAATACGGCCAAAATTATAAATTCCTGGTCAACAGAAAAGCAGTAGCAATTAATTCTTTAGACTAATTTTCTAAATAAACGCAACCTAATTTGGGGGGGAGGGGTGGTTAAATATTTTTCAATATAACTTATCTCATTAGAGAAAGAATATTGATTAGTAAGATTTTTAGCACAATTCTGATGTGTTACTTTTCTATGCTGATTCTCAAAAAAAAAGTATTTTGTTGTATTAAAATAGCTTTTATTTTCTATGTTTTGGATACAATAGAACAACAATGGTTGCGGTTCACTTTCAAAGCTTTGCATAACTTGGAAACTTGGGTATTGTTCTGTATTTGATAAATATTAATATTTCCCCTTATATCTCCAAATTATTTACAATGCATTGCACTTCTGAATTTTATTTAATAACTGTGCAATATATGGTTATAACTCTGTGTCTTCCTATTCAATATTATTAAGTAAATATTTGTCTAAAAAAATTCCAAATACTAATTTGCTTATATATTTTAAGTCTAATGTTGAACACAAAAAATGTTGTCCAATGTTGAACACAAAAAGGGCCAAAAAAGAAGGGGAGAATTTTCTGTGGCATTCAACAAGTTCTTGCTCTATACAATTAGTTTTACCCAAGAGTGTTTTGTTTTTATCTATACATAGTTATATACCTTGATAATAAAACCTTTTCTAGTCAAAATTGCAGAGAAAATCAGTTTATTCTCAATTGACTTTTAAAATTGCATAAATTATGAAACCTTTATATAAGCTTGCATCACAAGTCATCATATTTTAAAGTTATGTAGTCACACTCAGAAAAATGTGAATGTATTCCCAGATACTAAAAAGTCAATTTTATATAAGGGTTGCTAACATCAGTATTACTATAACCTTTCCTCATTTGGGATTTAAAGAAAAAATTATTACAGTATTTTGGCCTTAGAAAATATATACTAGTGATACAGAGAAATTGGTAAGTTTGGAGACATATTTCAAAATGTCATCGAATTAGGAATCAATTTTAGAAGGGGAAATCCTTATCTTCTATGGTGAAAATCATATAGGCAATATTTTAGAGTCAGCTTAGCAAAAAAAAGAATGTTTTCATTGTTTTAATCAAGGTAACTTTACATCTTCCACAGGTTATATTTGGAGAGATCTGGTTATACTCCAGAACAATAATGTTAAAAATCACCAAGTCAGCAGCCAAATGAAGCAAGACCTTTTAATAGGAGTAGTTAGGTAACTATAACAGTTTTATGTGATTTGGGGGTGGAGGGGAATGCATGCTTTTTCCTTCTTTCGGTCCCAGCAACTGAGGTTAAAAAACAAGCCCTCCAAAACCAAAGCCAAACTAGCACATATTGCAGCCTTCATCACTTACAGGTCTTGCAGCAGCCATCATTATACATCTGCACAATTCCTCCATTCTAGGAAAATAAAAGGAGAATACATCAAAAAAGACTGTGCCCAATGCAAAGGTGAATTGTATCTCAAGACATTCCATGTTTTAAAGATATCCAACTAATTAAAAATAGTATGGCTGAAATCAAGAGAAGGTTTGGTTCACAAATTCTTTACAGCCTTCGACACTGAAAAGGAACATGTCACTGCTTATCTGATCTGATCTAATCTTCTTTGAATAAGCCACTTAGTTTCTATAAGCGTCTTTTAATATCATCCACTACCATCTATTTCCCCACCACTGAGATCTATTAGAATAGTTAAAAAAATTCATGTGTGCAACTTTGCTGATGATGTAAAAGGATTTACACTGATCATATGCCAAGGAGAAAATTAATAACCTAGTAAGTAGCTCTTTACAACATTAAATATATATATGTATATATGCACAGTTTTGAAGAAGAACTTTAACATCAGAATTTCAGAACCATTGTTGTGCTCAATTCTTTTTCTCAGTTATCGTCTTTGTTCTCAATTTTTACTAAAATTGCTTGTTAACTAGAAAGTAAAAAATACTCTTTTGTGTATGATAGATATTTTTTGTTATATTATACAAAGCTTAGTTTAAGAGATAATAAAATTTACATGTACTCTGTCATCTTTCTAATCTTTGCACAACTCTAAGGAATTTTAATATAGCCTACTTTTATATATGCGTCATTTCTGAATTGCTTGATCCAATTTATTTAGTGTATGTGTACTATGAACTTGGCAAAGCGTTATTCCAAACTAGAGTAAAACATAGTGATTATGTCACAATCACATAGTGATTATTGTCACATATGTCAAGTATGGTTCAAATTCCCCAATATTTTAAAAGCGGTCATCATTAAGGCCCAAACCAAACTTTCTTACTCCTCACAGATCTTTTGTCAGTCAGAAGGCAAACAGGAACATAGAAAACAAGACTGTAAATTGCTCACTTACATGTTTTTACTTACCACTTTTTTAATTTAAAGAAAGTGCATGAGGTATGCATGCATTGTCAAGTGTAAGCCAAACTGCAGATCAGTTGTCACTTACCTCACCCAAAGTACAAACCTTTGTACACTCAGTGTCATTAAAAGGGGGACAGACAACACTTGATCCCAGTATGATAGCCCCTGCAGCAGTCTTTGCACACTCGTAGTTGGTGCAGTTGGAGCTCCAGGTGCTTCCTTCCTGAATACATAAAACAAAACCATTGGCAGGAAAGACAAAACATTTTAGCTTTATCTCCAAGTGTCTGTAAAAGTGGTGCCCTCATGCTGTAGTACCTACTGGAGTGGAAAGATTGTTGCAGACCACCCCTAGGCAGCAAGGGGAAAGACCATCCTCTAACTACCAGTGGCTTCTGCTCCCTGGAGCCATGGCTGTACTCTCCAGCACGCTGCTCAGCATGGATGTCTTAGCGTGGAATGAAAGGGCTCTGTGCCAGGAAAAAAGTCCGATAGTTTCTTTTGCTCCAAAAGCAATGGGATGCATGACCCAAGTCGTGGCCATGTCTAAACTTCCTTGTATGTGGATGCTGGAACACACCATCAGGATCCTGAACTCCAGTGCTTCAGTTTGCGCACTGCCTTTCTGTAGAAACCAGAATGAGGGGAAGAACGGCCCTGGGAAGAGGGGGACATAGGAGTCCTGATGTGGACTCAGAAGCTCCCAATGCGTCTAAATCACAGCGTGTGGCTTAGACTTACAATTTCAACCCTACCTTGCACTTAGAGCATATCCAGCCTTAAGTAAATGACAACATTCACATATCTTTGTAGAAAATATTACAACCAATAAAATGAAATAAGGTGTTCACCTAGTGTGAAATGGCAGATCTTTAAACCAACACACTTTTTCCTATCATATACCGTAAATAGTCCTTAAGTGCGTAACCAGCAGTAAGGAGGTATGAAGCAAGAGTCACAGCATGAGTTAACTGACTGTCAGACACCTGGTTACCGTATCATTGTAGTTATTTTCTATCTCTGTCCAGAGGCACTTACCTCATACACAATTAGTGTTCCATTCTCAGTATGAAAAGAGCAGGACACATTTTGACAGGTACCACAACAAGTGTGGGGACTGGAGGAAGGAATATAAATTTGATGCTGGAAAGAAAGGAAAGCAAAAAAAAAAAAAAAGGGCAAAAAAAAAAAAGTAGTATTTTTTAAACATACAGTATATGAAAATTCATTGATTTCTGAAACTACAAATACCAAGAGAAACAATATATGGATGGATGGATGGATATGTTTACATATGCTGCTAGAAATTGCCTCTCAAAATAATCCTGGAGACACCAGATACACATCATCACTGTTAAGTGCTCAAGTTCTTGCTGAGCAAACAGGACTTGCAAAAGTCTTCACTTTGACTTTTATCCTAGTTGTGTAGTTGTGTTCACAAATGGCATCATTCCTGTATTTTAAGAATACTCACAGCTTCACATTGCTGGGAACAGTTCACCATTGTAAAATGCATGGCATTGTATCCTGTTTTCTGATCTTTTTCTTGTAAACACTGAACAGCGTAACAAAGGTCTCCATCCAAGTACTGAATCACTGACTGTCCAGGATTCAGTACTGTGACCTCTTGGAAGATGCACACATCATCCTTCTCTAATACCAAAAGAAAGAAATGTTACCAGAGGGCAAAAAACCCCCAAATTATCAAGGAAATTAACAGAATCACTGTGAAGACAAAAGTAGGGCAAAGTCATCTGCTCTGCAAAAGTATTCTAACTTTTAGACTGGATTGGTTTGTGGTTTGAATTACCAAATGAGGTGGGGAGGAGGTATAATTCAGCTTTAGAAAATGCTACAAAATGCAAAACTGCCTAAAATTGATCCTGTTCCTACTATAGAAGTAAAAAAAAATCCCTTGTTCTTATTTTTAAAGAGTTCTAGTATTGGCCTAAGTATACTATATGAATTATTCTGCACATGACAAAATGTAGCCTTTCTGTCAATTAAACTAGTATGTCTACAGTTACCTGTGGGACAGTAATATGCTCAAGCTGTACGGTAAATGTGTGCTTTGCTCGCAGAGGCAATTTAGCCTGGGCTGCAGTCAGGATTGCAGCGTACCTCAAGCACCCTCGTGCACAGTACAGCTGAAATTGGGTCTACACTGGGTAACTGAGTGAGGGAAGGGAGCAGAGGTCTGATCTTAAGACTGGGTACCTACCCTGGTGCTGGCTGGACAGGTCTGTTGCTGTGGTGTGAGATGTTGTCTCATTTGTGCTCAACAGTGGACTAGGAGCAGTCGCACCGCTCACACTCAGCTGAGGTTCACAACCTGCTTCCTATCTGCCTCTCACCACAGAGACCCTACCTGACTCTGAAAGCATGGGCACTTCTACGACACTCCTACGCCCCGCCAGAACAGACACAAAATGGATGGGTTGGCAGACAAAGCATCATATTCAAAAAAGAAAGCATAATTGCATAACTAGGTAGACACCCGTAAAATCAAGATAAAAGAGTGTTTACATTTGAGAAGGTTATTACAGTCCTATTTCTGCTTTCTTCGCATGTCCTTTTTACTAAAGACTAAAACAAAATAGCTAGGAATATGAAAAAGTTACCACAAATGTAGTGAGTGCATCCACAAGCACTGGAAACACTACTGTCTATTTTTTTAACTTCTCCCTGAGTATAAAAAGATAGAAGAGTTTGTAAAGCCGTGCACAATTAAATGTAGTGCTAAACAGACCATTTTTCACTAAAAATGTAAAATATTACTTTCATCACTTCTGTCCCTGCTTTCATAAAACAGAAAAATTGCGATGTACTCAAGAAACAGTAGCACATTCAGAGTTATTCAATGTATTTATCTCTTTAAACATGAGAAAAGCACTTCATTTTCTCTAGGAATGCATATGAATAGCAGAGTTGCTGAACAGCACTTTTTCCTGAGATGCAAAGTTATTTCAGTAATAAACATATTAGCAAAAGACTGCCTTCTGTGAATCTTCTTCCAAAAGATAGGTGAAAGCTATTCAAATTTGCAACTCCTGTTTAGACTTGACGTTATGCAGTCTTCACATAAGGGGAAGAGAAGGACAAGCTACAGGCATTTGATAGGGAAAATATCCCTGTCACTATGGTAATAGTGGGAGTTTGAACACTCATAATTATTTTCCAGATCACAGTCCCTATTACAAGAAAGTACGTAAGGAGCAAAATATTTATGACTTCTCATATCAGCGCAATTCAATGTTAAATTATTTTAATCAAAAGTATAAATTATTAACAAAATAACACATTTCTCCAGATGATACATATGATCATAAAGCTCATTCCTCATTAATGATTAAGAACAACTGGGAATTATTTACATGGAAAACCTTCCCAGCTTATTGTTTCAAGTCAACATTGAACAGAATATTACAGTTGCTTTTCTTCTTTTGACATCTTAAAACACACAAACTGAAATTTCCCCAAGGAATAGTTGACAACATGGTGCAGACACTTGACGGAGTTCCATGCTTGAGCTGGGGCCTGGGAGGCAGTCCCAGCCTGTCCCCGTTCAGCCTCATCGCCCTTTACGACTAATTGAGACAAGGAATAGAAAGGGAGGAGTAAGAGGGCTGAACACCATTAATAAAAATATCTGAAGGTCAGTGCTTACCAATTTGCAGGTCAGCATAGTAGCATTTTCACAGCTACATTCTGAGAAGAGAACAAGAAAACCGTATTAGTCAGTTAGCTAATTGTTAGCTTTTGTTAACAGCAGTGACTAAGGAATAAGGCAATAATTACCACAGTGCCATTCTGGACAGCACTGCCCAGGTATTTTTTCCTTCACAAGTGTCATGTCATCTGTGCAATTTATAGAAGTCTCAGAACAAAGATTTTCGTCACAAACTAAATGGAGGGAAAAGACACATGTGAGAATTTACTCAACTTTCCTTTGAATTTTCCAGCTTATAATTCTCTTGATAAACTATTTTAAAAATAATGACATTTAAAATAAAAATTTTATTGTGTTTCTTAAGCATCTGAATTATATTTGAAACTGGAAAATAAACAAAAGATTTTCAAAAGCGCTTTTAGTTGCCTTAGAACAAGTTTAAATTTTCAGAAGACATCACACAGGAATTATTTAATGTTCTTCCTACTTCAGAGTCACTCAAGCTGATAACCAGTACCAAAGACAACTAAAATCACAGCTGTAGGAAAACATGGTGTTTTATTTTCTCTCAGCTACAAATGTGCTGTAAAGCAGATTTCTGTAAGGTAACAAGGAGCAACTGCCCTCTTGGGATGACTCTAAGAAGAAAATGCCTGCCTGTCTTATCTGAAGTGGCTTACTGGGACTCTGAAAGAAGACCATACACTAAGATCTAACTTTCTACCTGCCAGAATTTGGCAAAAACAGTGCCAAACACCTTTGCAGAAACTTTCATCTGGGTGCAAGTGCCAGGAAAAGGAAAGGACCAAAATATGGAACCACCTGAAGTTAAAATTACTAAGCTCCAAGCTTACTGGAAGACAATGTAATTAATTGAAATTACCCTAAGACTGCAATAGGACAAGAATTAATCTAAATTAAGTGCTTACACTTGTAAACATTACTTAAGACCATACAGCACAATTTCTGTGTTTTATGAGGCTACCAAAGAGACTGCATTACACTGCAAATGTTTTTCTTCTGGCTGCTCGTTGTTTGAATAGTAGTCAGCCCAGCAGTATTTGAAACCCTTGGCCTAAAGCTAAAAGTGCAATGAAACTGCCTAAACACTAATGAATGGTAACAGAGAAACAGCACCATGGAAGCTGGTTTATTACAGGTGTTTTAATACATGAACAATTGTATATTTATAGTCCAAGGATGGGACTCAGTTCTACATGAATATCAGTATTTAGATCACCCTGAACGTAGTTATATGCTGTCTGGTGAACTAAATAACCTCTCCAGACTCCATTGACTAGGTTGGTTAGACCAGGACTGAGTATACCAAGAACTTTGAACCTATCAAATGCAGACACCCCCATTTAGATCTCTTAATCTCTATCATCTGAAGCCCACCCTAAATGCTGAGTTAAAAAAATCTCAACACACACGCACTGTCTGTCATTTTTACTAAATTTGGTAATGTATTCAACTGACAGCAGTTACACTCACCGCAGTAATAATGAGGACAACAGTAATGTACGGTATTAAGGTCTACAGTGAGAATTTCCCCTTCATTACACAAGGGAACAGGCTCAATACAGGATTCACAAACTAAATTAAAAAAAAAAAAAATCAGACGTTTACAAAGTTTTAAATACTAAAAAGTTAGCACATCTGAATTCTATTTAATAGACTATATAACAAGTCATATTATGTTTGTTACTTGGATAACAGAGCTTTTATGGATTGATGCTCAATTATAAAAACATGTTCAAAATGATGTTGGAAATAAAAGATCCCAAAACCCCAAAGTAATTCATGCTCCCATCAGCGTGACCTGTGTGAAGTCCCACTGACCTCTTCACGAATTCCTGGCTTAAGATATTAAGTTTAGAACTATAAACTGGTTTTGTAAATACTTAACTACTCCTTAGTTCCCCATAAAAATATTAGCAGCTTCTTACCACAGAGATAAGAGAAACAACAGGAGTCTTCCTGTTTTGCTTCAACAATAAATTGATCCTCTCTGCAGTCCAGCTGGGAAGCATTGAAACAAACTGAAGGATCACATTCTGTAGGATGTGAAATAAACACTATTTTAAAAAAAAGTCACAGAAACAATACTAAAAAGATAAAGGAAAGATACTCTTTGTCTCCTAAGTAAAACAAAATACCCCAAATTGACTGTAAATCAAAAGTGACACAAAAAAATATTGGAGGGTGTGAAAAAAATGCATCGTTGCCTGGTGCTATTTACAATGTCCCATTCTGTTAACAACTAAAGCAACTTATAAGGCAAATTTTCTTACAACACATAATACAAGTGTGGAAAACATCCCAATAACTGTGGTTTTGTATTTCCCTTACCACATCGGTACTGTGGACAGCACGACAGGGGGTGGTAGCCCACCACTAATTTTTCATTGGGTTTGCATGTTGGAATAATGGCATCACACAAGGACATGTTACATTCTGTGGGATAAAAAACAATCAATTTTGACATATTTGAACAGATACGAGTGCAAGTCCTATAGCTCAAGATATTTATACTATCTAAGATAGAGATCCAGAAACTAAGAGCAGCCCAAGTCAGCTTGAAGTGCACTCCATCCCATCCTGTAGCCCTCCAAGCTCAAGCCAGGGCTGGTATAGCTCTGTTCACATGCCACTGTGCAGTCACAGTTATATCCCACTTACAGCAGGTAGTTCCTTGCTCTGCTTCCCACACGGGAAGCCAGCTAAAATGTCTTAGTAAAAATATTCCCAAAACAAATTGACAATACAGTGTTCGTTACAGGTATCTCACTAATGAGCAAAAGCTGGAGTATCAGCTGGACCTATCGTTCTTGTTTTCCATGAAGACATTATGAAAAAATAAGTATCTTTTGCTTAACATTTTAGAAGCAATAAGCTTATTCCTTTTTCTAACAGCTGTGGCTAGATAGAATATTACTATTCAGTGATCAGCTCGCAGAATACTGCTTCTGGGAAACAACAGGAGGTCAGAGGATACTGCTTTTGACACCAGAATGCTAATAAGAAAAGCGAACAGGCTCTGATGACTGCTGCAGTTACCAAGGTACTTCTATCATCGAGTCTTTATCAATTTCTTTCAAAATTCCACCCAAGAGCTTAAAAATTCATTTTTAACAGAAGTTTTGTTTCACTAGTGGGCTTCTAAGGAAAAAACATCTATTTCAGTGAGTCAGTTCTTACAAAGAAAAGAAGGCTGTTTTGCTGGCCCAACCAACCAGAAGTACCCAAAAATCACTTCTGAAAAACGTTACCTTGAACCCTGTCTAAAAATTGTCATCTGCTAGTGAACGTCAAGCACCTCCCTCATACTTCTGTTACTGAAAATAAGTGTGATACATACCACAAACTTTTTTTGGACAGCAAGCTCTCTCTTCGATGACATGGACGATAACTTCCCCTTCTCTTTCACAGACTGGTGGTGGATCCTCATTGCATTCAGGTTCTACACCAACAATGCTTCCATTTTCTAGACAGATGTACATGCAACAGCCTCTCATGGACCCATTCCAGGTCTCCCCAGCAGAGCGGGGTTGTCCTTTGTTATCTGTACATGCTGGGAGAAAAAACATTATATCCCTTCAACAAGTAGAGAGCGTAGATTTCCTGCAAGCAACTAGGAATTTCATAAAATCATTGCATAAAATGAGTGCTGTGGAGCGTTATGATCAAGGAATCCACGAAAAGATGATGACCTTAAAAACCCCAAATGAACAAATGCTTCACTGTATGTGAAAATAAATACTAAGTGCAAGGGAAAGGGCCTGCCCCTGCTATTCCTTCCTGAGTATTCCAGGAAAGAAAGCCTGGGAGCTATGGAAGAAGGACCATCATTTTTCCCCAACAGAAGTACATCAGCACTGGGTCTTGAATCCAAATGAACTGAAAGCACAGACTGCTGTAGCTTGCGATAAAGCTAGGCTCTGTTGAAGGGAGCTCTACCAGTTTCACACTTACTAAGGGCTGACACACAACTTAAACATCGCTTACACTGAGCTGCAGTTAATATTAACATATGTGCAAAACCACGCTGCCTTGCTGCACTTACTACATTTTTCTTCTGGTATACAGAGGTCAGAGTCTGTTCTATGCAGAATAGTGCCATTTTTACACACACAATCTTCCCTTAAATAGGAACAGGGAGAATCTTCATAGAGCCATTTATTCAAGCACGTCTTGGCTTCACAGGGTTGCACACAAGGCTGGTATTCCTTGCCCTCAGGACAACTCAATGCTGCAAGTCATAAAAACAGGACATTGAGTGCTGCTTTTATTCTTTCAGCATTTCATGGGATAAACGGGTAGTAAGAACAAGTGAGCGTATCATAGAAAGCGTACATTTATCTTTTTAACAGTGCTTTAGGTAAGCAACTCATTCAATCAAGATTAAAATTATTCATGACACTTTGACTAAAACAGTACATCTTAAGAACTTGTACCCTGATTTACCAATGCTGTGATAGAATGAGATGGTACCTACAATAACAATAGAAAGAAATATATTTTTAACTCATCACTAAACACTGCAGCAGTATAAAGCCACATTGGGGTATAGAACATGGCTGTCTGCTTACAACAGTAATCAGGTGTCCTCCATTTAATGCAGATGTTGTGCTTGTTGCATAAAGCCACATATGCAGAAAGTGCATCACACTCATAATTCCAAAAATAAGTACTGTTGATCCACATCTTCTCACAAAACTCCTGTGGTGACACCTAGGAGCATATTGTAATTGAGAATTTAAAAGTAGAAGAGTTTTCTGTAATTAAAATAAATCATTAGGCTCTGCCACCATCAGGTGTATGAAAGAAAACAAACTTCATAATGTATGAATCAAGTGCTCGGCAATTTTGGTGCTATGTCAGGTTTTGCTATAAACCAGGAAAAGATGCAATTGTATTGTATCTGAGGCTATGAGAGTTCTCCTGGAAACGTATATGAAGTAGGAATTCTGACTATTCAGATTCCCTTAAATTAATTTTTAAATGAGATATGTTAAAACAATTATGAAAATCATCCTGCTACCCACTGGTGCTACTCTCCCTTCTTGATTTCAAACTGCTTACCACTGCTCCCTCCCATTAAGTTTCTGTGGCAAATATCTATTAATCTTTTTTTTTAAAAAAAAAAACAAAACAAAACAAAACAAAACTCTTTAACCCCTTCCTTTCAGAAGAACCCCCTCCATTTTTTTCTGCCTGGGGAAAGTGAGGAGAGGTCTTGGGAGTTTGAAGGAAGGAGCTCAGCTGCCTGCAATACCTTTAACAGCATTTGTCTGTGATGAAAACCGAAGTATAACACAATGCAAACCAATGGTGGAAAGGCAGGACAGCAAGAAGTGAATTAGGAATCTGGACACATCCATCTCTGAGAAAGAAAGGGCCACTTGAATAATCAATCCTTTTTATTTTGAATTAAGTGGGAAAAGTAAGTCAGACCTCAGAGATTTGGGGCTTTCTCATTTCCCGTTCCGGGAAGCATCTGTGCTGCACTACCCACCTCTAGTGGTAGTCTGCATGTTATGGCTATATCCCGTTAGAAAGTACAGTCTCCAGAAACAAATGATAATGATTTCTGTAAGAAATGCTACCAAATTGTCAATGTGATAGTGACTACATCCAAATTTGTTTAACTGGAGATTTCTTTACTCCAATCAGTCTCAGGCTGCCTGAGTTGCTGATGTTTGCAGCAGAACCATGAGGCGTTCCGTTCTAGTGATCTGTGTCAAGCATTTATTAAAAATAACTCTTGGAACGCATTTGTGTTGAGATGATGATCTGTTGTCTATCCTTCGAGCTTTGCCTACTAAATAGTTTAAGGAACATCATAATAGCACAGGGATTCATGTAGATGTGTGTTTACAATGGACAACATGACACAAGTATTAAAGCCAACATGACAGAGGTATTAAAGCCACCCATCCAGTTGTGAACTCATGAAAATAAGCAAAATATAAAAAACGTGGATCTCTCTCTCACTCTTTTCTTAACTCTACATCTTTTATTTAATTTGCGCCTGGAATTTCTCTGAGCTTCATACTCACTTTCTTGTGACAAGGGATGAAAATGCTTCTGTTTAAGAGTTCCATACAGTATGTGCAGTTATCTTCAGTACAGTTTCTTACTGGCCTCCTGGTTGTTACATCCAGTGATTTCTCAATTTCCCAACTCTTAATGAACACTTCAATTTCCTCCATATTTGTAATTATGGTACTATTTTGCATTTTCAGGTCATCAGTAGGGTCTCCATTACACACCCCTGGAGACAGAGCATCACGTTCAAAGCACAAACAAACATGCCATATTACTTCCTTTGGGAAAGAAAGGTGCACTTGATAAGGTAAGATTAACATTGCATCAGGCTCACCTATGAGACTTAGACATCTGAATTTATAAATGAAAGCAGCTATATGTCCACTGTAGTTCCAACTTTCTACTTGTGATTTTAGTGGTCAGCTTAGCAAAACAAGCAGATCATATGATACAAGTAATGATACTTTTCCCAGCAATGAATTAACTTTTGAGAGAAACTGCTACCAAAATGTACTGTTGAGTGTAGCAAATTCACTACAGATTCTGGTCTCATTCTACTGAATAGCAATCAGCTCCATGGAAGTAAATGTAGGTGGCTTTCAAATTAACTGCACTGTGGTGATGATTTGACACTGTATTGAAACTTAATTGAACATTCTAAATGCAAGAAGGTGTGAAAGAAATCTTCAAATTGCTTTCTCTAGAGAAAATATTTTTCTTAATAAATTTATTAATACAAAAGCACTGAAAAAAAGGCCCCACCCAAACCCCTGCCATCCATTGGCTACCTGAATTCATTATTGTATGTATTCTGTTGATTCATCAATGAAAACATATACTTCCTGTAAGGACATAACAAGTCATTAATGCCAAAATTTTAATCTTCATAATAGTGTTTTACATCCCAGGGATTGATCAGCCAAAGTTCCTGTATCCTTTTTTTCACTTCCCTTCCACATTGCTAACCGCACCCAAAGTCCTTGCCTTCCTGCTTCCAGCCCCGCATCCTGATACTCTCCAGGGTCCCTTGTTGGAACTGGCCTAGCCTGGTGTGACAGCCTGTTGTTCTCTCAGACAGTATGGAGAAACACGGAAGATGCTATTTGGATGATAAGAAGCATTTGACAGTAGCACCACTTTCCAGTATTCTTAACACTTCTGCATCTTGCTGCTGTCCTCATGCCACCCTGCAAACTGTGCTGGCATTAGAATTTGTAGGGCCATACTCGAGAACCGCAGAATCAATACAACTTTAAAAATAAAGCCAATTTACCACATAGTCCCACAATTTTTTCAGTATAAGAGGGAGAGGACAGAAGAATCCCAGACAGGAACAAACGGCAGAGAATAGGAAAGAAGCACTAAAGGAGGCTTCAGACTTTACTGCAAAATATCAGGTGGAGCAATACTTTACAACGGAGCTTGGATTTGTCTGCATAGTCTTCCTCTTTTTGTTTTTGCATGGCACAAAGAGTAACTAATCTATAATCTTTCCTACATTTGACCTCATCTCTTCCCGATTTTTTTCAGTATGTATAGAGAAGATGGCATGATACTGGGAAAAGATGCAGTAGGTGCCAGGGCCAACACTTGCCTACTCTCACTAGATGTAGAAGAACTTTCCTTTTGTTCAAGCAGAATATAGCAATTGATTTTAAACACTTGATTTGTTTATATGTATATATGTATATTTAAACCATAGCTGAATTATTTTGTTTGCTTTTAAACTAAAAGCAGTTTAAAAGATTATAAAAAGTTCATTTTCCTGTTCAATATGGGGTAGATTCTGTAAATTTACAATGCACCAGAAAATGAACATTTATGATAGAATTAAAGTAACTAAAATACCTGCTTACACTTTTCCATATTCTGGCAGAGTTATAAAAAGGCTGGCAAGGAAGCCTGAAACATGCTAACTTTGCTATCATTGTAGTTTAAGTCTGAGACACCTCAGCAGTTTTGGACCCTAGATCCAACCTTAAGAGGTCTGAATTTGGATTCACTATCCTCAGGGGACTTGGGCCCTTCCCAAGACACATTTTATCAGTATTTACATAGCGATAAGCTGCCACTGCTAACATCTGACAGTTATTCTTTTCTCCCATAATCACTGAAATATACCTGAACTTCTTCAGCAGCCACTTCTCCCTTGAAGATTTTCCCCTTTTCTTTACCTGACTTCAACAATGTCCTTAACCACAGGCAGAGATGAGTACATTTTTTAAAACTTAATTAGATACAATGTATTGATCATTACTTGCTCTGCAAACTACTTTATTAGCAAACAATGCTTTGAAACAGAATTATTGATTTATTATTATTAATTAATAGAATTTCACAAGCCCACCTCAAATAGGATTGTCAGTGTAGTTAATGGAGATCACAAGGAGATTTATAGGGACAGTAGGTCACAGACACGAAAGGGAGGTGTAAATTTTAAGTGGGAAATTATTAAATAAGAAAAAAATTGCCACCATAGCCTCACCACAAAGTCCTTCTGTCGTCATCGATGTGTTAGACTGTAATCCATACTGTATATCTATGATGCCTGTAATGTGAGCCCATTTGATGTTAATACCAGCGGGGGTATTAACGACATACATTGAACCAGTATCCTGAATACTCAGTCCATCTTTTGAAAATGGTAATGATTGATTTACAGAATCCACTACTACCTAAAATAAACCAAATACATTTTAGGGATAAAAATGGATTGCAAAGATGTGTTTTATACGTCTTTACATTTTGTAGCAAAAGGTATTTTTTACAGCCTCCTTCACATCCAATAACAGTCACAGTGCTTCCCATCAGTGCCATTTCCTATTAACTGCAAATGAAGTAGGCATCAGAAAAAATAATGATATGGAAAGCTTTTCTAATTAAGAAAGCAATAAATCTTACTTATCACACATTGTACGATTAAACAAAACAAAACCTCATCCCAGTTATTCAAAGTTATCTGTTCTGATCTGTTATTGACTAGCAGGAAAGGCAGCTTAAGTATTTATCACATCTTGGAACATTTCTGTTTAGTTCTAGGTTTTCTGGAAATACAGTCTCAAGTGTAAATGCTTTGGCTGCTTCTTTAAAATCTCAAAAGAACTTTGAAGCATCATTTTGGATAAATGACATATAAGTGAAGCATGGTATCAGAAATCTAGCATACCATGAATTACTGGGAACCTGAACTGCAAAAGTAATCCTAATCCTGTAGTACATTCATTGTAAGCCTGATCTATTGCATTGTACAACAGATCTTTTAAGTGTACACATGTTATATACTGGTGATATATACTTACTTTTCTTGCTAAACGATTGATGAGTAATTTATATGTGTGTGTTGTTACATTTAATTTCTTAAAACAGAGCCCAGAAGTGCTTGCAGGGGGAACCTTGAAAGAAAAGTGACAAACAAGTTTAGTTACTATTGTTCTTCTAACTCTGTATCAGTGTTATAGGGAATATTTTCAATATGTGTAATATTAATTTATTTTATAATTAGTAAAATAAAAAGTACTCACTAGTTTTCTTATTGAATTTGCACTCTGGAAAACATTAAAAATAGATTAGAAGTGCAATGATATTCAGCAGCATTCTTATTTGGCAAAAATAAGTTGACTTTTCTTTGTTTTTGAAGTTCTTCTACAATCAGCTTCACAATTAAGCTGATTTAATATATTCCTTATAAATAATAAAAATACACATTTCCCAGCTAATGTAATGCACCTTTCTATGAACTATTTTTAGAAACTTGATCTACTTGTTAAAGATTTAAATCAAAGGGGTTTATGTGGAAAATAATACAGAAAATACAATGACTTGAACAAGTTGAATTAAAAATACATAGAAATACAATGGTCATGCCAATAAAATCCCCTGCCCTAACTTTGATAAAACTGCGTTTTTACCAAGGCATCTTTCTACACAAGATTGCAGCTTGAATATACCATACCTCATCTGGCTTTTAACTAAACAGCTTTAACATTGAGAGCAACTCATTACCAGCATCACGAGATCCAGCATATGCTGCAAAGCCATTTCAAAAAATATTTCTTAAACAATTGCAGCTACAGACTTCTAAAGCTCATCTGCCTATGTGAGCTGCATTCACACCTTTAGACTGCAACCAAGAAACAGTGAAGACAGCAATTTAAAAGAAAATCTGTAAAACCGTGTAAGATTTGGGACTTAAAAATCAAGTGTACAGTTGCCCAGTGAGAGTGGATAAGAGACCAAATGGGGATGGGGAGGAAAGGAGCCTGATGAAATATCTCATCAGGAGCTTGTTTATCCCCAAAGCAAAGGTGGAAATACAAGCCAGTTGTTCAAGGACTGCATAAATTAGAATCATGGATAATGCAAAGGAAATGTATGTACAGATGCTGTGGATGCAACTGACCTGCCCTAAACTGGCAGTCTAAAATTAAAGTGGCTGGATCCCCTTTGTAGGCAATGCAGAGTTAGACGACTATGAAGAACAACTGATCATCACACTAATCCCAAACTGAGTAATACCTTCCTAAAATAACTACAAAATATTTTTGTGACTATTCAAAATATTTTAGTGTTTTGCACATATTGTAAAGTATAAACGCAAGGCCGCAAGACGATTTGTGGGTGGAGAGCCTGAAAGGAGACATGCAGATTCATAAGTTATGTCACCCCTGATAATTTAAAAGGAACCTACATTTGAATTGCTATATAACATAATACAACAATTACTATTTAACCTGAGATAAAATTATTTTATCTAGACAGCATGATTAAGCACGCTCCTTGAAAATTAAATAACTTGCCATTTTTCAATGAGTATGGCTTTTATCTGAACGTTTTAAGTGTACATTTTTGCAGAATTTCATACCTATAACACAAAAATTCAAGGAAATATTACAATTATTGCAGAAATGCAAGAATCTTACCTGATTAGCAGGACATTTTTCAATATGAGCAACAATAATTTCTCCTGGTAATTTGACTAAAATGTAGGAAGCCATATAACAGAGGGCTATGTTGTTTCCATCAAATGTAACAATGCTCAGTTCAGATAGTACAGAACATTGACCTAAAAAAGAACTGTCATTTAATGAGGTTACCACAAAACCGAATACAGGGCATTTCTAAGAACGTTCAGTTTTAGCAATATTTCCTTTCATATATACATTCCTATATATATTGATGACCTTGTTCTGCAGACAGCATACTGAGCCGTAAGCAGAAGTAAGTATCTTGCATTACTCAGTGGGAGTATCTTAACCTACTGCTATGTGCCCAAGGTAGGACAGAAAGTTTAAATCGGCAAAAATTTTCACTTAAGTCAATGTTTTACAGGAAAGGTCAATGAATCTGTACATTGTGAGATAAAATATATGCATTAAAATATACGTATTTTTGAGATACTGATAACGAGACTGATCTGTCCTATCTTGAGCCATATTTAAAAGTGCGACATCGGTTTCAGTAATGCTGCAAGGTTTTTAATATGACTTCTCTTTGGCCTTTTTGTTTGCTTGGCACATAGTCATCTGCCAGTTTCTGCAGTTTCTAAGTATAAGTAAAAACTGCAGTTAGAGCTAACTGAAATTTGAGGTTTCTGTCTTTCAGAAAATGCCTGTATTTAATTTGTTTTCTTCACAAAATGTTGAAATCTCAACATTTCTACTAACAGAAATTCTAAAGTCTCAGCTGGAAAATGTTGATGTTCATGTTGCAGATTTCATTTCAATGTTTTCATTCAAAACATAATATTTTAACTCTCTTGAATGTTAATTCAAAGATACCAAAACATTCAGTGTATTTCATTCTGTTTTGCTGATGAACAGCTCTTTTAAATTCATTCCAGTATTCAACCTCATATTCCTACTGTAATAAACCCTTAATTTATTACTTGAAATGTACAGATCAAGGCTCTATGTTGCATTTAAAAATAAAACAGTGACTTACAGGGACATTCCCATTCTGGGCAACAACTATCAGTGTTAACTTGAACTGGCATTCCTCGAAAACCACAGTCTGGCTTCTGCACATCCTTAGGGCAGTTCCTTGAAAGGTTGTATAACATCCAACCCTTATTAACACATACATACTGGCTACATTTATCGATGGGTTCAAGGTATCTTGGCTGTCATATAAGGAAAAAAAACCAACCAGAGTCAACTTTACATTCATTGCCCTTACGAAGTCCAAGAGATCACTTGTTCATCACCCTACTCTGAGACAGAGTCAGCGTATCTACGTGACCCCTCATCAGTTATTTTGGAATTAATTGCTTTTGTGTGGCTGTCACAGGTGACAATGATGCACATGCATTCACCCACACCCTTCCTGTTCCATCTAGCTCTGGTGGAAAACTCTATGTAAAGCATTATGCAATGAGGCTACACGTTATATTCAGTAATAATCTGAAGCATTTTAAGAAATACAGAATTATGCATTCCCATCATTCTAAACCCTAAGACAAAGAAACAAATGGAAAAAAGAAAGACAAGTTAAGATTATGCAGAAACCCTAAAATTCCATAGATTATAGCTTTTTCTGCACCTCAGAAATATATTTTGCTATCTAGAATCAGCACATAGCTTTAAAAGCCTTTTTTTTCACAGAGCAATACATCTGAGTTGCAGAAGATACCAGGGCAGTATAAGAGCAGCGATACAACAGTCCTCTAAGAATAACTGAGTATTTTAAAATACACAAATAAAAACAAAAGTAAGAGATATTTAAAATCTCTGGTATTATATACATAGCATAACAGAATGGATGGAAAAGCAATCTATATTTTAACACATAGGGGCAAGTAGAAGTGATCATACCACACATTCCGAAGATGTAGACATCAGTGTATGCATCACTGTACCAAAGGACGCCTTGTCAGCTATAGCTGTCATTAGTTCTCTGCTTGCCAGAGAAGTTTGTGTTTCCACAGGCTCTGAAGAGGAAGGCAGAGCCATTCCACTACTAGAATGAGATAAATCTGTTATAGTTCTGGTCTGCAGCTCTGTGGACTCTGTTAAACTGAAATAAGGTTTGATGGTTTTCTGTGTTGGGATTTTGGACCAATCTGATGTTGTTACATCCAGAACTCCAGAAAGAGAGATATTTTTTACTGAAGTTGTATTTCTTGAAGAAGGCAAACTCTGAACTGCAGATACTGTCAAATAAGGCAGGGAAGATTTCTCAGTTGTAGTTGACTTTGTCTTGGTAACATTTCTTTGCTCATGTGAAGTCTGACCACTTTCTAAAATATCCACAGTTCTTTCAAATGAGGTTGCATATTTAACTTCTGAAGCTGTAAATGAGGTACTCTTCGTCTGTGATAATGGAATTGTAGTGCCAGTTGTTTTCATCATCATAATTTTTGGAGTTTCTTTAGTGCTCTGTGAAGCTCGAGTCGCTGCAGATGTAAATAAAGATTTGTGTGACACATGCATGGGTGTTTCTATGGTGGTCGGAACTGAAGCTGAAACCATATAAAACTCCGAATCAGTGACAAAGGAATCAGTGGGTTTTGTAGCAATCCTAGAGGCTACAGTAGTGCCAGAAGCAACTAATAAACTGGCTGAAGAGCTCGGTGGTATTTTTGCAAAGATATAAGGTGCTCTTAAGGACGTAGCATTCACTGTTGTGTTCGTGATCATTGGTGTAGTGGATTGAGTGATCACTCCGGCTGATATGGCTGATATTGTTCCATCTTCTTCTGAACTCACCGAAGAAAACTGTTTTCCTAGAGAAACAGTAGAGATATGAGTGGTCTTAGGAGGAGGTGAAGACATAGAGACCCTACTGGTCTGGTTTTCTAAAGTGGCTTCAGGAGTTGCAAGCATTAGTAAAGAGGGCATTACAATGAATGTTTTTAGTGCTGCTGAAAGGCTGGTAGAAGGGCTTATGTTTAAAGTGAATGTAGAAAAATCTACAGAAGAAGTTGCAAAGTCTGTAACTGGACTTTTTGAGGTTCCTTGAGTATCTAGAGATGAAACTGATGTTTGGGTAGCAGTTATATTTTGTGTTAATGATGATGTCCTACTGACTATGGGAATCAATGAAGAACTTGGAGTATGAGATGTCACATAAGATGGTACTGATGTTGATAACAAGATTGTAAATAAAGATGATTACCTTGTAAGAGAAGGATCTTTAGGAATGAAAGTGGCTGAACTTTGTGCCACGGAGTCAGTTTTCAATTCTGTATGTGAACTGCTTGGGTACTCTGTAATTTCTGAAGTGGTTATTAATGCAGCATTTAGAGGTAATACCAATGTCCTAAGAGGGAAGGCTGTAGACATAATGGATTTCATTGGCTTTTTAGAAATGGATGGCACTGAAAAGGAATCAGTGTGCCTTATGTATCTATTTTCTGTTGAGGCTTTACTTGCTATAGCTATATCAGAGATTGTTGGATTGACTAGAAGAGTGGAAGCAGCAGAAAGTACTTTATAAAGACTTTTGGAGGCAACAGTTATATCTGCCATAGCTTTCGGCTTCAGGGAGGTAATCAGAGAACACACTGGTATAGATACTGTGTGTGTGTTACAGAAGGACTCAAAGAAGTGTTTATAGGGATTTCAGAAGCAACTTGAGGTGAAGATACAGTCCTCATGGGCAGAGCAGCAGAAATACTGCCTTTTACTAATGGAGACATCTGCTTGGGAGCAGACACTGAAATTTCCGGTGAAGATAAAAATGGCTTTGGAGAAAAACTAGCTAAAGAACTTGCATTTAATGATATCAGAGAAGTTTTAGACAAGAGTTTTGCTGTTTCAAAATATGAAACTGTGATTAATTGAGGAAAACTTGTCTGAAAGCTGGCAAATGTAGTAGTCATAGGAATTTGAGGAGCAGTTGAAGGCAGTGCAGAAATGGGTGTTCGGTGAACTGCAGTTTGACCAATGCCAGGCCTAGTTCTAATGAACAAAGTAGATATAGGAGAAGTAGATGTGCTTAGTGTCAACCGTGAATCTAGAATAAATACAGGTTTTGTGAAAGTTGCTCTGCCAGCCAGCAAAGCAGACAAAGACACTTCAGAGGATACTGCTGCTCCCTTAGAATAACTCACTGAAGGACTCCTACTCTTCCCAATCCCTGCAGGCAACACAGAAGTGACAAGAGATGGCTTGGAGGTTAAAGTTGTTAATGCTGAGGTAGGGGGAACAGTTCCTAGCTGAGTGGTTGATGTTTCAAGTGGAAATGGAACTACCACTAGGAAAGCAGGTGTTAGTAACGCAGAACGTGTTGGAATAGGACTTGCACTGAGCAGGGTTGTTGGAGTTGCTATTGTAATGGGTAAAGTTACAGATGTAGTAGAACTGACAGTACGTGATGTGACTGCTGAGGCTTGAAGAGCAGTTGGAAAATCTGTTGAAAAGATGAGTTTGGAAAGGACAGTAGGGCTGGCTGTGCTGTGGAGTACATCAGAAGGCTCCACTGTACTTGGCAATGAAAATGCTGAATAGGTGGCTGCATTAGATGCCTCCAATGAATAAAAGTCTCCAAAGGACTGGGCTGACATATTCATTCCCCTTAAAGTTGTGTTTGCCTTCGTAGTTATTTTGTCTGTCACACCGGTATGAGTTGACTTGGTCCCTGAAGTAATAAATAAAGGAGGTGTCTGAAGAAGTCTCTCCATGGTAGCACCCGTGTGAGAGATTAATAATGAAGGTTTTGTTCCAATTGCTGATTCTGTAGGTGTCACAGGTATGCCTAAAAGGAAGAACGCATGTTTCACTGTCTTTTATGGATTATTGGTAAAGCAAAATAGCAACATCTATCTCTACTCAAATCCCATTTAAATATTAGCAAATCAGAGCATCGTTTTGCTGAGAAGATAACTTGCCAATGGTTCCAGGTTGCCTGATGACTTTGAGGAACTCAGCCAACTCAAGAAGTTTTTTAATTTTCTTTGCAAATGAAGTAGCTAATTTTTTATTATTAGTGAAAGCCTTGATTTTGCCTAGCAGTTTTGAAGCAACAAGGGAATTCCATGGAAAATTCAGTAAATCCAAAATGGCAAAAATATTTGGAATAAATATATCTTTGGAAGGTAATATACTATATGAGGTAACTTTGTACTAGCAAGTATCAGGCATAATGTATTTAATTCAAAACTTGTAAAATAAAATAAGCAACAGTATTGAAATGTAATTGTTATGTTAAAAGAATACTGTATCCCTAAAATAAGCAAATAATGTGGTATCTTCACACACCAGAAGTTAAGAAATAGATGCACTGAATTTTCTGGTGGTGGCTTATCAACTGAAAAGTCTGAACTTTTCACCACAGCAGCATTTCTTCCATTTGGGATCTTTCTCTTATATACTTACGATATACTAGCAGTATATAGTCCAATACAGTTGTGATGAGTATAACACTATCACAAAAGCTTAAATTTAACATACTATTAGAGAAATGAAAGAATTCAACTTTAGGTATGGCTTGTTTGGATGTAGAGATATATTTTGGATGGCTGAGAATGGGGTCTATGTCCCAGAGAGACATTCTTCAGCAGAAAGATGGTCTGGTAAAGCATTTGATAAAAAAAAAACAGCAATGCACATTTGATTAAAACTTTTCCTGGGATCTCTAGACTGATTTATAAGACTAGACCAATATAATAAAATATACTTACAATCTTCTGGATAAACACATTTAAGTGTGACCTCATCAAGGATCATGTTTTTGGGACAGTATGGCAAGCATCCTTCAACCCTTCAAAATATTGTATAGTTAATTCTAAAGCAACAGTAGAAATCTAAATTAATTTTAAATCATTTTACTTTCGCAAAATGAAACATTTGAATGTTTTCCCCACCAGAGTTCTGAGAACTTTTGAGTGTAATGGTGAACACAGCGTTTTGAGGCATTTTAGGTTCAAAAAGACATTGAGTAACACAATTCTGTTTCTAAATTGTTAATAATCGATTCTTTGCATCAGCTGATCAACACAAATGCTTTGGACCATTCTGCTTCCAGAACCTGGTGGAAGTTCAGATCCCTAAGCAGAAAGGTTTTCTATAGGACAAAGAACTTCTCTACAAGACCACTGTTTTACTCAGATATGTTCATTTGAGACATTAAAATATTTAGACTGACTCTACAGAAATTCTCAGTCTTGTGCACTTTCAGGATAGGAGAGTGCAGACAAGTCCATATATTCCCTTACTTTTTCATTTTTGGAGGATTCTTAGTAAGAAAATCATTACATTAACAACCAGTGTGCCCATATGGAAAGAGCTAAGAATACCATAAAAGAAAATTATTAATACTAGTAATATTCCTAATCATAAACTGCATATGCCTAGGGAGGTAGTCTGAAATTTAAAAGATTATTTATTTTCCACTAGATTTTGTGCCTTGAGTTTTTAGACATTTTTCATTTTAGTTTGTTGTGGTTCCAGAGATGCGGGGGGAGAGCCCTGGAGACAGGAAACCTTGTTACTAAGTAACAAGATAACGTCAGCGGTGTGAAATCCCTCCCGTCATGCCAACGAGCATCTCGGAGTACAAAGTTCTCTCCTCTTACAGGAGAGGGCGTCGTCCACCCTCACTCTTCCCGCAGTGTTTGATCACTGTCATGTAAACACCGGGCAGATGTACTCATTTACAGCATCACGGAATGCTGGTTTAGGATGTCAATATAAATCCTCAGAAAGGAATAGCCTTCATTTAATTTAGTAGATTTCTACATAACCACTACCAGAAGTTAATCCCCTGGGCTAAATACAAACCTTTTTATTCTTGTTTTGAAAGATCGCATGTGAACAGGAATACATACCATGGGAAAAGAGCGGCTTGTTACAAATGTTTTCACATGACTTGTGAGAGTTGCTCACAAGAGTGATACTGAAATCTGGATGGGTAAAAATGAATGGATATTGCAGCCGCGGTCATTTTCAGAAAGCATATGGCATGTGTGTTACAAAAACCAATATGGTAGCAATATGAGCTTAATTTTACTTACGGAGGAAGGAATTTACATGCTGTTCCTTCAGGATCACTACATGTTTTAACACAAGGATTAGCACAAGATTCATATCGCCATTCACACATCCTTCTATAAGGCACAGAGGCACTGAGTTCTGAGAAAGAAGGAAAAGGTATTATTTATTGATTGTGTAGTCAATAAATTATAAATTTATAGTCTTTTCTATAATGTACTTTGGGATTTTCAGAAAAATGAAAAACACAAGTAGAGAAATTCTTGAGAACTTTCAAATAGGTGAGATTTTGTTCATTTTCAGTTTCAAGTGTTTTAAATTCAATCGAGCTAAAAGACACTGAAGCTTCAAAGATACAAAAAGCTACTCACGTTTACAATATAGTGTGTTTAAAAACTTTAAAAGCAGTCAAACATAGTGAAGGTACTCTTGGTTGCAGAAGCAATACAGTTCCCCCCTTCATTTAAAAGAATAAATACTTATAGCTCGCTAACAAGACATTAACATGCATTTTTTGTGACATGCCACATTCATTTTGGAATAAAAACAATGAAAATGTAGTTCAAAGATAAAGTAATCATCATATCTGCAAAAATTAGAAAATAATAGCATTTGGAGGTGGAATGGAAAACAAAGGCAAAATGGTAATTAAAAATAAGAAAAAATATTTGTTACTATTCCTGATGAAAGACAAGTGCTCTGAAGGCAAACAGAAAAAAAACCCAAACATATTTATCCCTGGAGATTATGCAAATTTACCTTCAACACTAAAGCTACTCAAACGTTTGAATTCTTCTGAATCATCATACTTTGCCACTTTAACACCTGATGAGGTGAGAATGATGAAAAAGCCTTTTTTACTGTGCAGTTCGAAGGCGCTGAGCCCTGGACTCCAGAGGCCCTGGTGGTGGAAGAAGGTGGCTTGTCTCTGAAAAGAGGCACTTGCCTGCCACTGTTCCAACCCAACGGTTTCATTGTCGTGAATGTACAGAAAGTAGTTTGGTCTTTCAGCAGATTCAAGGGAAACGAGAGAAAGAGCTTTCACAGGAAAGAAAAAAAAAAAAAAAGATTTCATAGCAAACAACTTAAAAGTGAGGTTAAAAATCTACATTTGCTGTTAAGTGGCTCCTTTTAGAAAACTGCTTTTCACAAAAAAAATATTTCAGATTTATGTAACACAAAACCCAGTTAGAATGCAGGATCTAAAGGAGACTTCAGATGATCGCATAATCCAGAGCCACAAGACGGCTAATCAGTTAGAACAAAACTACATTCAACCTACTGCTACCAGCCTTCGAAATGATTCATAAGCAATCTCAAATTGGGACTTGCTGAAATTGGGAATTTTTTCTCAAATTTGGACAAATGCCTGACAGTTCAGCTGTACCAAAATTTCGTTAGCAAATAACATCATGCATATATTGTAAAAACATGCTTGATTTCACCTTGAGGTCAGGCTTTTTTTACATACAATCATATCCAGCAATACAGTAAGAAAACTTGTGGCCAAATAAAAGACTCAGCCCTCTATTTGCTCCACCCATGTCAGAAATCAAAAGTGAACAAAATTCTCTGAAATTTAAGAACTTAGAAGAAGACTGACTTCATAATTGTTTTTCAATTTGAATAAAATCTTGAAGTGTCTCTAATCTAGATAAATATCATCTCATTCCTCACAGATATGAAAACTACCTGTGTACTGCACAGATAGAATGAATGTTTTACTTCCACTTTACATTGGTTGAAGAATTGACAAGACTGAATTAGTTCTATGTACTTTCTCATTTCAGAATCATATCTAAAAACCTAATTTCTCTACTGCAAAGTTGTCAACTGTTTGTGAATATAGTTTCAAATTTTACTGTGAAGACAGCCCTTCTCTATGTTGAATTTTGGGGGTTTGGGATTTTTTCAACAAATTAAGTTCTGTGAGAAAGCAATGATAAAATCTGTATTGACTTAATTGGCACAAACCCAATACATGTGAAGAAAGGAAAATATATACAGAAGGAAAAATATTTAAACATATTTATTTTTTAGTTGTATAGTTTGGATCAGTCTCTGATAAGTGGAAAATAGAGCTTAGGAATAGCTGTTCACCTAACAAACTGTCTTCTACATTGTATGGAGATGCTGCTCATGAACAATGCAGGAGACAGATTGGTTGTTCTAAGTTGCATATTTTATAGTCCACTGAAAGTCACAAAAAAAGAAGAAAAGATAAAGCAGAAGTGCTTTTACTGGAGATAAAGGTATTCTGCATTCACCTTCAGTATTGATACTTGTTAGCTACGTGTGCAAAATTTTCCAGTTTCCAGTTGTACAGACTAATTAATTTTTTTTTCACAAGTGAATTCTATTCACTTATATTTTGCAATATTTCTAAAACAATCTTTGAAAAGTCAGCTTTAAAGCTGGGAGCAAGTTTTTCCAATATTTAAAAGAAAATATTAAAAAAATCAGTATTCCCCCTCAGTTTTGAAATTGGCTGCTTCACCCTCACTTATTCCAATAACTAAAAATCATTAGCCTGTTTTAGAAGATTTAGAAGATGCAGAAAAAATCATTCATATAGTTTGAAAAATATGCATTGCCACTAGCAAAATTGTTGTGAACACTTACATAAATCTTTATCTTTGAAAAGACCTGGAGTTATCATGAAACTGAAAAATACATTTCCATATGCTCCAGTTCTAGGCAGGGGAAATATCCTTCTACTGGATACGTTAGCTCCTATAATTGTGTCATTCTCGCCATAACTTGCCAAAATATAGGGTCCTTCACCAAGACCTAAGGGAAGAAAAATCAAATAGAAAAATCCTGCTTGCACAACATACAAAACTTAAATCTTAGCTGACATAATATATTGCCTTAAATATTTCACCATACCTGGAAAATAAATTTGGAACTACAGCTCAATGCTGCAAGGTACTATGCTGAAGCAGGTCTGTATCGATCTGTTCAATGTACTCCCTTATTTGCTTGCTGCCCAGAATACAACAGATACAAAGTGAGCACAAAAATCTGTGGGTAGCTATCCTCACACAATGACCTGTACAAGAAAGCAATCTGGGCTGCTTTTTTATGGTATTTAGTCTTTTACATGTCCTTATTTCTATACTTTGAAAGATCAACAGAGCAACTTTAATATTATTCCCCAAACAGGCACTGAAGCTACTCTAAGATCTGCAAGGCAATTCCCCCTCAAAAAACAGATGTCGAATTATAAGGCTGTAATTCAAGTTTTGGCAGCAATATTGCTTAAGCAGTTGTCTAGTTCATCCTCTCCCACAAACGACTTGCTTCTGCCCCATTTATTATGCTATCCTAAGTGCTTCAGCAGTGAAGTGGTCCAGCTGAAAAATAACCAGCTAATTTTTTCCAGTCTGGTTCACCACATCGTCATTCAAAAGCTCATGCCAATATAACAGTGACAACAGCTTCAGCTGGTACCACTGCCAAAACAGTGCTGGCCTAACCATGCCCCGCAGCAAACCCCTGGAGCTATCTCTGCTGGGCTGGAAAGGCTCACGGGGATACATCCAGATACAACAGCATCCGTCTTTGTCACTATATCCCACTGAAAGAACCAAGAGCAGCATACTGCTAAAACCTCACCTTGTGAGTAATAAACAAAATGTCTAAGTTTTGTGAAAGATTTTAATCCTTACAGTGAAAAGACTGAACCTCTTCCCAGACAGCTCCTTTCAATATTACTCTTCCAAGAGGGAAGGAATTCTCATAATAATGAGATTTGGCTCAGCTAGAAGTTAAATACCAATTTCTGAAGAAAACTGCACGAAAAAACGTTCTGTTTTTATATGGAAACTATGTTGGAGCTCATATGCACATGAAACCCACAAGCGTGCCACAAAATGACCACTTTTAAAGAAGTGGTGAGACAATTTATTTTAAAAAGTCTCTTTATTCTAAACCATTGAATGTTTATCCCACATATTAACAGACATTTTGCCTGTGACTTGAGCAAAAGCAGAAGTGTGCTGTAATTGATAAAGTTGCCATAAAGATTCAACAGTTTGACATCATACAGAACAAATAAGAATCAGAGGAGACATCCTAGTCCCCAAAGGTGTTTTGCTGCCATTTGGTGCTGGGAACAAGCAGAATGCCATTCTTGACTTTAACCCTTGTAGGCAGCTAAGCACCACACAGCCCCTCACTCACTCCCCCCCAAGAGAACTGGAGGGGAAGAACTGAAAAATCTCATGGGTTGACATAAAGACAGTTTAGTGAGTTTAAAACAAAGCAGAACAAAACCAAACCAAGAAAAGTGATGCAAAATCCCCAACTGCTCACCACCAGCCAACCAATGCCCAGCTGGACCCTGAGCAATGCCTGCCCCAGCAAACTTCCTCCCAGGTTTTTATATGCTGAGCACAACACTATGTCTGGAATTTCCCTTGGGTCAGTTGGGGTCAGCTGTCCCGGCTGTGCCCCCTCCCAACTCCTTGTGCCCCCCCAGCCTCCTCGCTGGTGGGGTGGGGTGAGAGGCAGAAAAGGCCTTGGCTCTGGGTAAGCAGTAGCTAAAACATGGGTGTGTTATCAGCACTGTTTTTATCACAAATCCAAAATATATCACCATACTAACCATATGAAGAGAATTAATGCTATCCGAGCCAAAACCAGTACATCTTACTACTTTTTAAATAAGACAAAATTCCCTATTGCAAAGAAATTATGGAAAGTCAGCTATACCTAGCAAGGTCTACATGCTGCTACTGTACTGGGCCAGACTCCTTGGAGGACAAAAAAAATTATCTACTATATGATGCTCATTATAGGATGCAAGTCACTAAAAAAGATGTATCAAAAGTCACATTCATGTCATTGCACTTAGTCAAGTTTCCCTTCCCTTTCAATATCTTGCCCCCCACAAAGCACATGCACAGTATCCAAATACAAGAGGGGATGCCACAAGAATTAAGTTTGTTAAATGAATACCACTCTCATTCTAAGGAATTGTTCTTTACAGTACAATACTTGTGAGACTTGTGCATAAAATCCTGTGGCTTATCAATTTCAAAATATAATAGGTCCCAATTCTGAAAATTACAGTACAAGCACAAGCTAACATCCTTCTAGAACTTCTCCCTGACTGCCGAGATATGCTGCATGGTGCATTAATCCATCTCCACATTGAATATGATCAGGTTATTAATTGATACATTAAGGATTACTCGGATCATTCAGTGCAGCTGGGCCACTGACCTTCACCCACTAAAAACAGAAGTAATGTTAAAATTACATACACCAAGTCAAAGAAAAAGCCCATCAATTAATTCAACTGAGTTTTTAATTGAACCGCAGCGATCTCTTTTATATGTCAATGAAAGAAAGAAAAACAAAAAGTAAGCCACTTCAGAATGAAAACCTAGAAGATAATTGCATAGTGTGACAAACATTCATAAATTTTATGGGGCTTTTTAAATTTTTTTTTCAAAAAATCATACCAAATTAATTATTATTCTGATTAATCTTAACTCAGTACCATCAGAGATACATTATATCCACACCATGCATTTTTGGAGAAGAGGACTTGAATTTCCATGTGCCAAAGGCATTTAGTTCAGTGAGGTGAAAATTCAGGTGATATTAACCATGTATAACCTTGTAAGACACACAGTGTGTCAGTATTTTAATTCCTTACAAATGTAGGATTGTCTGTTTGTGTTTATATGGGTCAAATCTCAAGTAATACATGAGATACTGCACAGAAAAACAGTATTTTAGATATCCATAGCAGAACAGGAGAGAAGAAAAAGTCAGTATAATGACATAATGATATTAAATAGCCAAGGAATATGCTGCGAAATGACATACAATACTCCAGGCTGCTCATACAAGTCACTTCTCCTTTCTAGTGGATTGAAGGTCTAGTGAGTTCAAGGGATTGTGACTATGCAATCCTACTCTAGGGAACGGGGAGAATGGAAAAGAGAGAACCTCCAACACTGCTGCAGCTGGCAGAGATTCTTCTCAGCACAAGCTACAAAGGGTTTTATTTGCAGTGTGCAGTGTATCATGTTTCATCCGAGATGCCAGATGTGTTGTTTTGCTTACAACTATGATGTTTGTTTCCATGCCATCACTGTCCCTGGATGTAGAGCAGAAAGGCCAATGGGGACTTGCTTTGCTAACTTGCTGAGCTCATTGAAGTCACATACCCAAATCAGGAGTACAAGAAAAAAAAAGAGAAAAAAGAAAAAAGAAAAAAAATATCTTTCTAACCTGTGAAGAGAGAAATTACCAAACTATGTTTTCTTCCAGGGTTAGTCTGAGTGAACTGATATAAGAAAAATATCTCTCAGGTATTTGTTTTTACAAGAGAAACAAAGTAAGTGAAGGAGGGAGAGATAAATCTCAAAATAGCATCATACAGAAAGAAAGATGATAGAATAGTACGTCAAAGATGCCTTCTGTATTCTAGAGTAGTCAATGTAGGGAATTATCTGCAAATAAATGCTTTATAAAAATGGATTCCATTTTGGAAGCCAGGAGTACGGATTTGTTTGTAGCACATAGCTAGTTGGTATGTTAGAAAACATGAAAAGTAAGTGTATTCAGTAAGGTATATGAATATGAAGATGACTGAAAGACAGTAATATCAAATACTACATACCTTGATTGTAATATTCACAGTCATAAGCTAAAAGAAAAAGAAAACAAGCACATTATTATTACAAAGAAACAACAGAATCCATGCGTATCTGCATCATAAAAATCTAAAATTCAGTTTCATCAGAGGAAGGTTCATTTCCCATCATGTATTTCAGTCAGTGACTTTATTTCCTTAGGCTTTTATTCAGTGACATACAGCTGTATTTAAACAGATGTGCCCAATTGGTAAATCTGAAGCATGAATTATTCTACAGCCGAGAGCCCTTCTCTCTGTCAATGAAGAGCAGAACGGACTGAATCTCTTTGCAGCCCTACCCAGGACACTGGGCGTACCCCAGATCTGGCATACCGGTGACTTTCCAACAGTCTCTATGCTGGCACACCCTGAGCGCAGCCCATCCTCTTCAGTAAGACGGCAAATTTGGGTGTATAAGACTAACAGCTAACACACAGACAACTTGAAAAATGTGAAGCAGTACATTTATTATCCACCTGCTTCTGTCATATTTGTATTATTGGGCAGCAAAAGGCCAAAGATGCCTCAAAGATGAGCTCCGGTGCAAGGCCAGCCCAGGTACATACCACAGAGCGAAGGAGATCGCCAGTGAATCGCTGCTCCATGCTGGCAGCACTTGTGGGCATAAGCTGCAATACTGGTACACAAGCATTCGCAGTCCCCACCAAGATTGCAGTTGCACGTATCTGTGTGACAATTTTTGACAAAAGAAGTCACATCAATCTGGGGGGGGGGGAAGAAAGAAAGAAAAAGAGGGCTGGTGACTTAATTGCATGA